ACACATGCACCCTTTGTTGCTTCTTAGTGGGTGGTTCTCATCTTCATGCCCACGAGAAGGTTCCTGCATATCCAAATATTAAGCCCACATTCTAGGTAGGAAGAACAGAAAAAGGCAAAAGATACATGTAGCCTAGTTTCCCTTTTTTCATTCGGAAGACAATAACTTTATTTTAAGCTCTAATCAGGAGATTTCCATATAGATCTCATTGGCTAGAAGTGGTTGCTTGGCCACTTGTTAGTGGCAGTGTAGTTAATGGGAGGCCCCCAAACAAAATTGATAAGGAAGAGGAGAGAATAGGTAGTTAGCAGTGTTTTTCCTCAGTGCTAAATGGCATAGTTAGAAACTTGTTGAATTTCAAAGCTCTAAGTGAAATTTGGAAGCAGTTCTATCCTTCCGAGTGAAGGATTGACTTGAGCAAGTGTTTAACATCCTTATTTGTGATTCTTTTCCTGTAGGACAGATGGGGGCAGAGAGGATAGAGTCCAGCTCTAGTTTCCAGAGTGTAGGCTAAAGGTATGCTATGATGGTGGTCAGAAGTGCCTCGAAGAGGAGTGGGCAAAATCTATTGAGTGAGTAAATGAGATTTGTGAATTTAGAGGTACTTAAAGAGAATGAGGAAATTGGGTGAGGGATGACAGTTTTGTCTTATTTCATTTTTATTTTACTTTTTGGTGGCTGGCTGGGTATAGGAATCTGAACCCTTGAACTTGGTATTTTAGTACCGTGCTCTAACCAAATGAGCTAACCAGCCAGCCCGAGGATGACAATTTTGGATGAAGTTTATTTGTACCTGTGATGTTTCCTTGTTAATAAGTGCTCTGAAATTATCTTTTGACACTTGCTGAATTCATCTGAGGTTCTTCCATATTTTGTTTCTCAAGTTCTTGCTCTTTAACATATTCTGAAGTGTTCATGCTTTTTTTCTATTCATACACTTTATTAATAGAAAATATAGGACATATTCCCCTTCTTTTGGTACATTTGATAGATTTCCAAAAATACACTAATATTTTCCCGACTAGCAGTTTTAAAAAAAAAATCTGTTGTGATAATATATTTACTTTTAAGTTTCTATCATTCTTAATTTTTAAAAAATATTATTTGAACTCCTAAAAAGATTGAATTACACATTGGTATGGCAGAATAGCCCTTATTTCTTGAATTTTATCTTTCTTGTGAGAGCTGTGTTTTTTCTGAGGAAGCTACTGTATTCTTTAACATGCAGGAAAGACAAAGTCTTTGTGTAATTGCTGTGTTAGAAAACCTTGTAAAAGATTTCACAGAGTAAGAATTTTAAAGCTGGAATAACATTCTAAAGATTTGCTTGATGTATTGCTCCTTTATCTTTGAAGAAGTATGTATTTGTCTTTATTCCTTCATCTTTATTTTTTTCAGATTAGCCAAACTCAGATCCTACTGTATTTAATTAAAAACTTTAAGGCTGTCCACTAATAACTTGCAAAAAAAAAAAAAAAAAAACCAACCCAAAACCAAAAACCCTACCCCCCAGAAAGTAATTCATTCTTAATTACTGGTTGATGAGGTACAAATACTGTATGATTTGGCGTAAGGGAAAAATGAGTGGTAGAGGTTTGTTTCTACAACCTTGCCTTTTGAAATGGAACATATTTTACAGGGAGTCCACTAGGTGGAGTAGTTTTGTCATATTGATTTCAATACTTAACTGGCTCTGAAGAAATCCTTTTGAGTCCCCAGTTCATGCAGAATTCTAACAGAAGGGGTTTGCTCCCAAAGAATGCTACATCTTCTTGAAGTTCAGAAAGATTTTGAATACAGTAGTATAGCTTGTGTTGAAGCAGTTGTGGTTCAGTGAGAGTGAAGAGGGATTGTGTTTTATAGAGAGTAGGCCTAGGGGAAAAGTCAATAAATGCATAATGATTTGAGAATAAGGAAAAAGTCGGAGAGAATAATGTGACCAGAATGATAGGTGCTAAGATAATGGTTGGTAGAGTTTTGTCCATTTATTGGCTCTATAATACTTAAGGACTGTCACTAAAGGCTTAAGGGAAGGCAAAGAGGAGGTGGGAAGTGAGAGGGAGGAGAGAAAAAGAAAAAGAGCACATGATTTCAGGAGCAGTTCCTCTTGGGATATTGGGGAAAGATAGAAGTTCATGGAGAAAGGTGAATTTAGCAGATAAAAATACAGAGAAACCAGCTATGAAGATATCCCTTGTCACAGGCTTTATAGCTTCATAACATCCATTCTCTAACAGGAGATATTGGACTAAGTTTTATCTGTATGTGATTGTGCAATGTAAGACATACTTTATGATTTTTAAGAAAATAGTCTTTGGATTTGTTATTGCAAGTGAGCTGTATCCTTTATCGAAGGCCTTTACTTTTCCTTATTCTTGTGTATCAGTTTTATATTGGTGAAGTGCAGCTTTCTGATTGTTGTTTGTATGTGTAATTAGATATTGTGTTTCTGGTTTCTCTTTTTGGGGGATAATTTGCTTTCTAGTACCCTTAGTTTCCCTAGTTTTTAGTGTCTGGGTTCTGTGTAAATAAGAATGGTATAAGTTTTGGAAGAGGATTTTATTAATTTCAGCACTGAAAAATAGGATCTTATAACTTTGGAAGGGATATTGAAAGATCCCTTACCTTTAGAAACATGATACTTTAATCTGCCAGAAAGAGAAAATTAGATGTTTTAAAAGGCTTACACCAAAGTAGTTTCCATGACCTTTGATGTCTCATGTAGAGAATTCTTTCTTATATCTCACATAAAATCCACTTGCTATGACAAATGTTTCAATTCTTTACTGTTGAAAAGCGCTCACAGAGGATCTACTTGCACATGGTACACTGAAGTATTGAATCTTATTGTTTATCATATGGCATAACATGTTAAGGGGTCTGCAATACTCAGGACAAAAATGTTCCACATTAGTTAATGTTACACAGCAGTAAAAGTAAGTGAATTTGAGGGTTGTGGAGGGTGTTGAGTAACTTTGAGTTACATGCCTGGACACTGTGGGGTCTGTAAAAGTCATCACCATTTTGTTTACTTCTACTTCTGCATATTCTAGCTTCAGATTAAGAACAGCTGGCTGCCATCCTCTGTAAGACTATTTTATTGTCACTTCTCATCTTCGTTTAGAGGCTGCAAATAGTTCCTTTCATCTTTCTTCAGAGGTTTTATTTTTCATCCTATTAATCATCTTTGAATCTCTTCTGAATCCCTTCCAAATTTTATTTTTCCTCAACATTCCTTTTCGGTTTAGAAGTACAGAACTGGACATAGTACCCTGAGAGTATCTGACCACTTTTGAGTATCGCTGGAGGAAGATCTCACAGTTGTTCAAGTGCCAGATTCCGCCTCACATAGCCTTAGATTGTGTTTGCTCTCTGAAAGTGTAGTCATATGTTGCTGACTGGCTGTCAGATTGTTATCTCCTATGACCTTGATCTTTTCCTCTTAAGTTTATTTATAGCTTGTACATTCATCATCTTTTATTTATAGATTTTATTTTTCTTGGCTGGGTGTATTGCTTTGCCCTGTCCTCATTGAAATTCATTGCCTTTTTTCCTGATTACTTCATCATTTACTCAATGTCATTTCCATTCCTGTCTTCCAATATGGCTAACCCTTAGGCTTCATATTGTCTGTGCTATTTAAGATGGTAATACAGTTGTTTTAAAAATAAAAAAAATTTTTTAAAAAAAGGAGTAGGAGGTGGAGAAGTGTCCTAGAAACAATGGCAGAAAACAATTTGCTGATTTCCTTAAAATTTTCTCTGATGAGTTGCCAGGCTGAGTGGTCTGTTTTTGTACTCGTAGGACCTGTGCCCCTAACCATCAGAGTTTGGTGCCTGTGTCTCCACACAGCTATGTCAAGAAACAAAGGAAGCAGTTCATCTTGTTTGCTGCTGTCAAATTGGATTTTAATCACTGCCTTGTACATATCTCTCCCTGTTCATAAGCTTCTGTGGCTCCCCATCACCTGCTGAATTAAATGTAAACTTTCTAGTCTGATATTCAAGGCACATTTTGGCCTCAGCCTCCCTTTCTAGCCTGATTGCCTGTAACTGTATTATGTTTCATACAAAATGAACCACTTGACATTCCCTGGATATCTCTCACACTTTCTGAGACCTTGGTTTGTTTGCATTGTTTGCTCTGCTTGCAGCACTCTGAAGCTTTTCCATCTGATTTCTGTCTATCAGCACCATTGATGACCATTTTCTTTTATGTTCCTTTGTTTTTGGATTTCTCCAGTTAGATATAGTCTTTCCCTTCCACTTTTTGAATCTTTATACTCTTTTCAGTACTATTGTATTTTTTCCTCTGTGATAGCTGTTTGTATGCTTTTCTTATCCTTCCTGATAGACTGTGCATTTTTTGAGAACTGTCTCTTCCTCATCTTGATAACTTTGAGCATACCTAACATGTATTTGCATAAGTAATTGAACAGACTTAAAGTTTTTTACGGTATTTATGGATATATACCAAATAGATTAATTAGATCAGTTTGAACATGTTATATTTGATTTAAATTCTACCGTACTCTCCTTATCTAGTTACATACTGATAGCAAAGTTTGTGGACAGCTGGCCTACACTTTGAGTAGCATTGTTACAGTCTACTTTTTTCCCTTTTAAAAAAATTGTAGGGCCGGCCCAGTGGAGCACTCGGTAGAGTGCAGCGCTTGGGAGCGTGGCGGCGCTCCCGCCAAGGGTTCGGATCCCATATAGAGAACGGTCCGCTCACTGGTTGAGCGCGGTGCGGGCGCGACACCGAGGGTTGCGATCCCGTTGCCGGTCGCGGTGCGGGCGCAACACTGAGGGTTGCAATCCCGTTACCCGTCACGAAAAAAGACAAAAAAAGGAAAAAAAAAAAAATTTGTAGAGGTTTATAATGATTTACTGTATTACTTATTAGTTAAACAGATATTGCTAAGTGCAGCAGTTGCTTGATTGCTTAATTAAAGTTGTACTCTAAAAGCCCTTTTATAATTAACTTCTATTATTTTCTAGAAACTACCCAACTCTGGCTAATATTGAAAGGAAGAAAAAGTTAAAACTTGAAAAGGAAAAGAGAGGAGCAGTATTGACAACAACACAATATGGGTAAGTTCCTTAAAATTGCTTGCATTCTCGGGCCGGCCTGTGGCTCACTCGGGAGAGTGCGGTGCTGATAACACCAAGGCCCCGGGTTCGGATCCCACATAGGGATGGCCGGTTGGCTCACTGGCTGAGCGTGGTGCTGACAACACCAAGTCAAGGATTAAGATCCCCTTACTGGTCATCTTTAAAAAAAAAAATTGCTTGCATTCTCAATGCTCATTGTAACTGAATGTACTTTAGTAAATAACAAAAAGGAGCATAATCCAAAACCTTCATTATTTGTTTTTTTCTTTGCTGGCTGGCTGGTGCTGAGATTGGAACCCTTTACCTTGGTGTTATAACACTGTGCTCTAACCAACTGAGCTAACTGGCCAGCCTATAATCAAAAATCTTAAAATCCCTGTGCTCCCAATTGCAAAATCTTTGCTTTTGTAGCTTTTCTTCTTTTTAAAAATTTAGTTACAGTTGACGTTTGACCAACATGGGTTTTCAGCTACATGGGTCCACTTATACAAGATTTTTTTCAATAAATACTGTACAATACTGTGAGTATATTTTCTCTTCCTTATGATTTTCATAACACTTTGTTTTCTCTAGCTTATTTTATTGTACTAATATAGTATATAATACATATAACATATAAGTTAATCAGCTGTTTATGTTATCAGTAAGGTTTAGGTCAACAGTAGGCTATTAGTAGTTAAGTTTGGGGGGAGTCAAAAGTTTCATGTGAATTTTTGACTGTACAGGCGGTCGGTACACATAATCCCTGCGTTGTTCAAGCCTCAACTATATATCTTAAAATAAATACTAACCTATATTAATGTGGTTTTCAAAAAGATATATAGTGCTAAGTCCTTTCAATCCTTGTCTTCTAGTGAAATAGTCTCCTTCCCAGAGGCAACCCATTTTATCCTTCCAGAGATACTCTACGTCTATACAGCACATACGTGATAGATGTCTTTTTTTGTTTTCATATTTTGACATATTCTGAACCTTGATTTTTTAGCCAAACAGTGTATGTGGAGATTGTCTCATATTAATATATAACAAACCTCATTCTTTAAGTATGTGTAGGAAGCTTAAAGATGTCCCAAAATGGTGTTTTTTTAAGTTCTTTCCAATCTTTTACTAATAAAAAGTTGCTATTATTGCTCTTACATGTACAATATTGTATACATATGCAGATATTTCTGAGAATTAATTCCTAGAAATGAATTTGTTGAGTCAAAGGTATATGTGTTTGTAATATTGATAAATACTGCCAAATATTTATCATAGAAGCTGGACCAGTCAGAATTTTAAAATTTTATTTACTTTTTATTAAAGCACATTTTAATATAATTAACATGTACAAATCTTAATTGTACAATTGGATGAATTTTTGCATACACACTACACATCTGTGTAACCACCACGCAGATTAGTATACAAAATGTCTTTACCTCACGAAGTTATCTTAAGCCCTGCTCTGTTCAATGCCTCCCACCGAGGTAAATCCTTTTCTGATTTCTTTCATCGTAGATTTATTTTGCCTGTTCTTGGAACTTTTATAAATGGGATCATACAGTATGTATTCTTGGGTGTGTGATTTCTATGTCTCAAAATTATTCTGTGAGATTTATCCATTCTGTGTGTAGTTGTAAATTGTTTCATTCTTAATGCTATGTAGAACTCAACTATGAGAATATATATCTATTGCACTGTTTGTGGACATTTGGATTGTTTCCAGTTTGGGCTATTAGGAATGAAGCTGATATGAACATTCTTTTATATGTCTTTTGTGGACATAAGTAGTCATTTTGCTTGGTCATATATAGGGTATCCTTCCATTCGTTTAGCTTTAGTGGTCATAGGGTATCCATACATTTATTTAGTTTTAATAGATCATGGCCAAATAGTTCCAAAGTGGTTAGACCAATTTACACTTCTGCTAACTGCATCTGATTTGATTGCTCTGTATCCTGTCAAGGCTTGATGTTACACCTTTCCCTCATGTCATACCGTTTCCCTACTGAATAATGGTGTTGAGTGCCTTTTCATATGCTTATTGTCTGTTTGAATAGTCTCTTGCGAAGTACCAATTCTTTGACCAGTTTTTAACTGGGGTTGCTTTTCTTGATTTGTAGGAGTTATTTACTTAGAAATCTTTCTTTTAGTGAAGTATAGGTATTGCAGATATATCTCACAATCTGTGGCTTGCATTTTTACTCTCTTAGTGGGTGCCCCCCCCTTTTTTCAATACAACAATAAGTGTTAATTGCACAGACATCTGGGGTCAACTGGGAGTCAGGCATATCTGCTGTACCTGACAGCTCAATCACAGTTGGGGGTTGGTCAGCTGATGGCCAGGATGCCTATGTAGTTACTATTTCTGGTGCTCTTTGTTCTTTAGTGTAGATTCATCTTTCATCTTATACCATTTTCTTTCTGCCTGAAGGACTTCCTTTAGTATTTCTTGTAGTGAGGGTCGGCTGCAGGTGACTTCTTTCAACTTGGTGTGTCTGAAAAGTCTTTATTTTGTCTGCTTTTTTGAAAGATATTTTTTGCTGGATATACAATTTTACCCAGTTTTTTTCTTATTGATAGTTCAGAATGGTCCTATACTTAACAATAGTTCATTATGAGTTTTTGACTTTACCATGGTGCAAAGCATTTTTTTTTTCCTTTTTGTCTTTTTCCGTGTCCGGCAACGGATCGCAACCCTCAGTGTCGCCCCCGTACCGGACCGGGACCGGCAACGGGATCGCAACCCTCGGCAACCCTCGGCGTTGCCCCCGCACCTCGCTCAGCCAGTGAGCGGGAACCGGTCTGTATGTGGGATCCGAACCCTCGGCGGGAGCGCCACCGCACTCCCAAGCGGCGCACTGTAGCAGTGCGCCACCGGGCCGGCCCGTGCAAAGCATTTTTGATGGTACTAAAGCAATACATATTCAGTAGACACTTTGAGTACCCATACAACCATTCTGTTAATCACTTTGAGTATAGCATTCAATTGTTAAAAGAAAAACTTTAGACAAATTAAATAACAGTTTAATTGAGCAAAGAACAATTCAAGAATTGTGCAACCCTCAGAATCAGAACACATTCAGAGCGACTCTGCTGTTGCCACTTTGCGACTCTGCTGTTGCCACTTTGTTGGTTAAGATTTATAGACAGAAAAAGGGAAGTGACATACGGAAAATGGAAATAAGGTACAGAACAGTTGGCTGCCTGTAATTGGCTGAGACTCAGCTACTTGTTACAAGAGTAGGTTATAGTCTGCTTGCACATTAAGTTAGGTTATAAGAGTAGGTCTTTTATTAATTTCTTCCTTGTCTCTACTTAACTTTTTGAACATATGAATACAGTTATAACTGTTTTAATCTCTTTCTCTGCTAATTTTAGTGTTTGTGTTCTGGATTAACTTCAATTGATTTTTCTCCTCATTATGGTCATGTTTTCCTGCTTTTTTGCATGCATCATAATTTTTGATTGGATACTAGACATTGGAAATTTTACTTTGTTGGGTGCTGGATATTTTGTATTCCTATAAATCTTCTTGAACTTTTTTTCTGATAACACACCTAAGTTAAGTAGAAACAGTTTGAACCTTCATGGTCATGTTTTTAAGATTTATTGCGTATAATCAGACCAGTGTTTACTAACTACTCTTCACTACTGAGGCAAGACCTTTCTGAGTATTTTACCTAGTGCCCCATGAATTATAAAGTGAAAACAAGTACTATTCATGACCCCATGTGAAGATTAGGCACTCTAATCCTTTTGGGTAGTTCTTTCCCTGCCCTTGGGTAGTTTCCTCAAAAGTATAAGCTGATCATTCATCTGCTAAATAGTTCAGGGTAATTCTCTGCAAGTCTTCAGAGTTCTCTCTCATTCTGCAGCTTTTTTCCTATGGTACTTTCGGCAAACTCTAGATGTCTTGTTCTCTGGAGTCTCAGCTCTGACTCCTCAACCTGGAGTATGCCAGATTCCACCTGGGCTCCCCTCTCTGTGGTCTGGAAACTTTTAAGGCAGTAAGCTAGCACAGTTGTGCTTACTCCTAATTTATTTCCATCTCTCAGGGACCACTGTTCTTGCTGCTTGATGTCCTGTATCTTCGAAGCTCTTGTTTCTGAATTTTGTCTAGTTTTTTGGTTGTTTCAGGTAGGAGTCTAAATCTAGTCCTTGTTGCTTTATTTTGGCCAGAAACAGAATTTCCTAATGGTGTCTTTTGATAAATAGAAGTTCTTAATTTTCATAAAGTTTAGTTTATCAGTCTTTTATTTTTATGGTCTGTACTGTTTGTCTTCTGCTTAAGAAATCTTTGCCATCCTGAAGGTCATGAAGCTATCCCTCTGTGTTCTTTTTTAGAAGATTTGTTGCTTTACTCTCCCCATTTATGTCTAGTATTAATTGTTGTACATAAAGTTGGGGTTGAGGTCTTTTAAAAAATTTCCCATATGAATTACAGTTGATCCAGCACTAATTGTTATACTGTGCAAACACCAACTAAAAGTAACCAGGTGTAACAATGTTAATATCAGACAAAACAGATGTTAAAGCAAGGCATATTGTTAGAAATAAATAGGAGTATTTCATGTTAAATGGATTAGTGCAACAAGGAGACAACAATCTTAAACCTATATGTTTCAAATAATAACTTTAAAGTATGTAAAACAAAAATTATTGACTGTATCAGAGGAGAACTAGATAAATTCAGAGTGGAAGATTTTTAACACACCACCATTTGTAACTACTAGAAAATAATATGTAATGTAAGAGAAGATTTGAACACAACCAATATCATCTAGGATATTATTATACCCAACGAATATAAGACTGTACATTTTACCAAAAGATTATAATACAATTATCAACAAATTTCAAAGGGCTGAAATAATTAATACAAAACAATTTCATTCTGACCAAAGTGAAATTAAACCATAAATCAGTAACTAGAAAAGCCTCAAATGCTTGGAAATTAAGCAACACACTTAAATTATCAGTTACTAAATTGTTCTCAGCAAACTAGGAATAGAAAATAATCTCTTTAATCTAATAAAGGATATCAACACTTTACAGCCATATCATAATAATGGTGCAGTACTGATAACATCCCCCCTGAGACTCGGAACAAGAGAAGGGTGTTTGTTATTACCACTTTTATAAATGAATATAGCAATATAGCAAGGGTGCCAAATACATATAAGATCAATATTTTAAAAACCAATTGTATTTCTGTATACTAGCAACAAACAATTAAAAAGTGAAATTTAAAAAGATATCATTTACAGTAGCATCAAAAATACCAAATACCGGGGCTGGCCTGTGACTCACTTGGGAGAGTGTGGTGCTGATAACACCAAGGCCACGGGTTCGGATCCCTATATAGAGATGGCTGGTTAGCTCACTTGGGAGAGCATGGTGCTGACAACACCAAGTCAAGGGTTAAGTTCCTCTTACTGGTCATCTTATTAAAAAAAAAAAAAAAAAAACCCAAATACCTAGAATAAATCTAACAAAAGATTTGTAAGACCTCTACACTGAAAGCTACAAAACATTCAGAAAAATTAAAGGCCTGAATAAATGGAGGGATATCTAAGGGTACTTCAAAAAGTTTATGGAAAGGTCATATTATCTTTTAATTCTAATTTTCCACAAACGTTTTGAAGTTCCCCCATATAATATTTATGGACTGGAAGACAATAATTATATTACTTCTCCCCCAGATAAATCACAGTTGAAATTTCAGGGGCTGGCTGGTTAACTCAGTTGTTTAGAGCTCTATGTTATAGCACCAAGGTCAAGGGTTTGGATTCCCATACTGGCCAAAAAAAAAAAAAAAAAAAAAAAAAAAAAACCCAGCAAGCTTTTTGTTTGTTTCCTCAGGGGTAGGAGGGAGATTGATAAGCTTTAAAATTATATGAAAGTTCAAAGGATCTAGAACAGCTAAGAAAGAGTAATGAAGATAATGTGGTATTGGCTGATGTATTGCAGGAGCCTCAAATCTGAGAGGGCACTCCCTGAATGTTTGCCTGTTCCAGAAAACTCACCTGGTTCAATAGGTAGAGATATCAGTTTATTAGGCTAATGGGAGTTGCGGCTGGCCAGCTGGAAATCCTTGCCACCATGGGGTACATGCAACAGTTATATAGTGAATAGATCAAAGCAGAGGTGTAAATCATTTGCATACTTATACGTAGACCCTCACCTAGCTCACATAACTCAGAGCACACAGGAGATCTGGCTGAATAGATAAATTAATCCACTGGCTACTCTCTTGGCACCAGTGCACTTTAACACCAGTGTGCTAATTTACTTAGGGTCCCTGCTTCCGTCTGTCTTAACGGTTAGTTTCCCGGAGGGAAGGGGGATCTCTGGTATGCACAGGGAGGGGGAATAGGTCTATGTCTAGCATTTACCCTACAGCCTAGGATAGACAGATAAATAGAACAGAATGGAGCCCACAAACAGATCCACTGATAATCACCTGACATATGGTAAAGGTAGCAATATAATGCAGTGGGGAAAGGATAGTGTTTTAACCTATTCGTTTTAAACTTTTTGTGCCTGTGTATTTAAAATGTATCTCTTATATAATATGTAATTTGGTTTTATGTTTTCATAATCCAGACTAAAAATCTTTGCCTTTTAACTAGTACTTAGTTCATTTATATTAATGTAATTCTTAATATACTTGAATTTTTACCTACCATCATCCTTATTTTTTTTTATTTGTTCTTTGTTCCTTTCTTGCCTTCTTTTGGATTGAGTCTTTTAAAAATATTCTATTTTCTTTTTTAGCTTTTTAGTTATATTCCTTAATCTCTCCATTTTATGTATATCTACACTTTTATGTATAATTATACCTTATGTAACTATTTTAAAGTGTTGATTAAATAACCTTTTTCTTTCAAATGATTGTCAAGCAGTAGTATAACAGAACTACTCCCTCAAAAGTTGGGCAGAGTGCCAGTACCAAAATACTCCTTTCTCAGTAAAGTCTTGTTGATCTCATCAGTTAAGAGATATCCTAACTCATTGCTTATTAGTGAAAGGTGATCATTCAGAAGCCAGCTGTAGTCAGATGCTGTAGGAGCAAGACACAGAGAAGGCATCTGTAAGTAGGAGCACAAGGAAAGTGGCATCTATGCATTATCCTTAGGGGGACAATGGGCCAGAGACAGAAACTGTACCTGTTTTACCTGTTTTACCTGCAGTGACACTGATGAGTAAATAACCTGACATCTATGGATGGACATTAGAGATTGTTCTATGGCTCTCTGCAAAATTTGGCGAGAGAGAGAATGAGAGTATGTGTTTGTGTGTGTGTGTGTGTGTGTGTGTGTGTGTTGTGGATGGACATTAGAGATTGTTCTATGGCTCTCTGCAAAATTTGGCGAGAGAGAGAATGAGAGAGAGAATGAGAGAGTGTGTGTGTGTATACATACATGATTTTTGGAATGAGATTCTCTAAGGGTTATGGGGATCCTAAAAGGATTAAGGATTAAGAACCTCTGGATTGTAGAAATAAACTGAGTATGTTAGTTAGCAAATTATTTAGAAAATGTTATGATGATAACTGCCACCTGTTAAGGGCTCAATGTGTTACCTTGCTCTAAATACATAAATAATTATCTTACTTAATTCTGTCTGTGTTCCTGCGATTCCCGTTCTACAGATGAGGGAGTAGACAGGCTCAGGGATATTAACATTGTCTAAGGGGCACAGCTATTAAGTGGCACAATTGAGATTTGGACCCAGATTTCAAATCTCCGTACTCCTAACTGCAGCCTCCATTATTAATAAAATGTGAATTTTGCCTGACAAGTGGCAAATTGGAAAAGCATACTATGTTTGTCAAAACTCAGTCCCACCGAAAGACACCTTATATTATTGTCTACTGAAAATACATCGATGGGGCTGGCCACTTAGCTCAGTTGATTACCAGTACTTGGTCAGCTGCCAAAAAAAAAAAAAGAGAGCAAACCTTTTTATAAAATTTTTTTTCCCCCTACATATAGTTTAAATCAGAAGATGATCACATAAGTACTTGAAGTGATTGTAGTGGTTGAGAGGGCACTTAACTTTTGAGTTGGCTGTGAAATTGTGCTTGCTCTGTGACCTTCCTGTAAAGTAGAGAGAATAGTACCTGTCTAATCTATTTCAAAGGGTTGTCATGAAGGTCAGATAAGGCAGCATATTTGAATGCTTCAGAAACTTTAAGGCTTCTTAGAAATGAGTAGATGAGAGCTTACATAGTTTATAAACTCTAAGAAATGCTTTTGTGTACAATAGAAATGAAGGAATGCTGCCAGTTAAATTGACCTGCTGATGATTGTGTAACACAGCCCAATTTCAGAGGGATTAAAATACAGGTGGAAATGTGCAGCTTAGAATCAATAAGGTGTGGTATATTGTGGGGTGTTGTCCTTTTAAGGTTCTACCATAGACTTCTCTATCTTTGGAAGCCACTGAATTTCTTTTATTTTTGGTCTCTTTCATGTACTGTACTAGGCTAAAAATGGTCTCTTTGACAGCTAGGTTTCTTTTGCATTCAGTAGTCTTTCTCAAATTTTTCTTGGAAAATCAGGGCCTTTTACATTAAGAATTGCATTTTTCTTACTCCAGCAAGATGAAAGGGATGTCCAGACACTCACAGATGGTAAAGATCAGAAGTCCTGGCAAACATCAGAAATGGAAAAATGATGGTGCAAGACAGAGAGCAGTCACTGGATCAAGCAATCACTTGTGTGATGGGAAGCCTGAAGGTCCACCTGAGGCAAATGCGGATCCTCTTAGCGTTTTGATAAACAGTGATTCTGGTAAGTGAAACAGGAAAATAACATTATTATAAGTGTACAGATAATGATGGTGGAGTTGGTTATTCACAGCCTTGTTGGTGGAGAGTTAAATGGCAAATATTTAAAAATGGAGAGTCATGCTTTTGTTTTTGTTTTCAATAGGAGTGTCTTGTCCAAAACCTCATTTCACAACATTTTTTCTGTGTCTTGGGAGCAGGTACATGGGCTGGGCAGGCTATGGGAGAAAGATTATATCTGTTGGATAATTTCCATAGTGTGATGTAATCTTTGAAATTTTTAAAGATTGTTTTGAACGTATTAATGCTATAGATTGGAATTTGCCCAATTACGTGGATTTTTTTCTCCACCTATAAAGCAATAATTCCAAGGGAAGCCAGTATTATTTATGCGACTGAGCACATGCATGATCTCTTTGGGCAAATAATATTAACTCATTGTATTTGAGTAATACTGTTCTTCCTCAGAGCATAGAATATAATTATATATGCTTATAGTTTATCCTAGAATTCCCTCTAGAACTTATAAGGCAAGTAGATTCTTGCTTATAAGTTGAAGAATTAAAGCAGCAAAATGCTGCTGTCATATGTGGATGTCATTTAGCCTCTAAGACTCCATTCCCCTTCTGAAAAATAAAACCGTATATATAAATATTTGCATCAACTTTCCCTGCAGTAACATTGTGAGGTTTTATCTGATTGCATGTGCTTCCTACTGTAAAGGATTACATGAAAATTATTAGTGAGTGGACCGATGTTACATTGTAGGCTTGATTGTAGGCTCTGTTCAGCTTCGATGACAGTGGCTTCTATGATAATCACATGTCAAGTTATTGAACTTACGGATGGTAGGAAGTGGGGGGGATAACTAATTTGTTGACTAAATTAGGACAGAAAAGGATCTTGGCATAAGGGAATGTTGGGCTAAGTATAGTAAGATAAAACTTAGTAGGCATAATAAGTTATCTTAACACAACTAGTACTTATTCAGTAATATACTTTCTGTATTCTGTATGCTTTATATATATTGACTCTGTTTCTCATAACAACCTTTTACGTATATGCTGTTGTTACTCCCTTTTTAGAAATGAGGAACACATAGAATAATTTACCTTGGTCATACTGCCAGTTAGTGCTAGAGCCAGAATTTGAATTTAGAAGACTGACTCTGCTAGTACACTTGAGTCTTGAGAAACAGTGGTGAATTCTTACCCTTCTCATTGGTAGAAAACATTCAGTTGGATTCCTAGGAGCAATTGAATGAGAGATCTCAAATAATTTTGTTTTGGTTTAAATGTCAAAACCTCTACCTGTACTGAGGGTCAAGGATAGGAACATACCTGTTTTGAAGGTCAAAGATGAGAACATAAATCTTGAATATAAAAATCATCCATTTAAGCTATAAATTTATAATTTTGTACATTTAAAAATTTATAAATTTTTATAATATCGTTCTCCAAGGAAATAAAAATACCAACGATCATATTATGGTAGCTTAATTTTGTAGGAAAGATGCCATTTAAATTTATGTTATCCTTTACCAGAGATTTCCTCAGAACTTTGATATTTCCCAGATCAATGTTTTAGACCATAGGTTCTTCAACTTTTCACTCCAGGTATAGCTGCAGAAAACCGTGTACCACTGTTTTCACAGGCCCTAAGTATTCTCAACATCTCTACTCTCTATGTCTTCCGCTTGTTTGGAGGCATCTTCCCTTACTTTGGGCCATAGCCAGCCTACCTTATGATGTAGTTATTCAGGTTGTCAGTGGCAGGTCAGCATTGTGATCGCATGGCCCAGTGTTCTCACTTGGTAGTTGACACTTTTCACCACTAAGCTCACTTTAAGAATAAAGTTCTCCCCCCTCCTCCCAAAAAGAATAAAGTTCTCCCAATTCCATTTATGTTTTGCCTTTTTCTGGCTCAGAACTTAATCCAGACACCAGTATTCACCTGAGATAAGACAGCGGTTCTGGAGTATCTTTATAAAACCTCAGATCATGCTTAGAAAGTCATTGCCTGAGCTCACCTCTTTATTGTAGTTGGTGGTATGTGTGCTCTCAGTAATTGTGCAGCTGCTTTGAATTAGAAATTGACTTTATTTTGAAGGGAAAGCCTTTCATTTGGAGTCTCACAGTTTATCGGTTTTGAGTATGGCTTGTCACTAGATTTCCTTACTGTTGCTGTATTTTTTATTTTCTTATATATTCTGCTGACTAGCCTACTAGCCTGTTCAAGATTTTTATATTTTATTAATTTTTAAAATTTTTATTGATTCAGCAGATCCAATTGTAGTTTTTTTTCTTTCTTTTTAAACCTTTTCTTGGTATCTCGTTAGTTAAGACCCAGTTCATTTTGTTGCTGTTTAAATATATATATATATATAAAAAACAAGTTTTATGGCTTTCCTAGCCTGTAGTCTTAAACAATAAGTCTACTGTCCGTGACTGAAGTGCCTTAGCATCCATGAAACAAAGACAATCCAATTTGTTAGTCATTTGTTATAATGTAAATATAGCTATTGTCATAGAACACTGGGACATCAGTCTGACTGTGCTCTGACATAAGCTAGGTTCGCTGTTGTTCTAAAGGTTCATGTTAAAGTAAGAAAATAAGCCAGCAGAGCACATCAGCTATTTTGAGTGCCCATCAGTAAATGTCTTCTTTGAGAGCTGGAGACTGTAAAGCAAAGTTCCTATTTGGGGGGGTGGGGGGGTGATGTTTTGCAAATAAGCCAGCAGAGCACATCAGCTATTTTGAGTGCCCATCAGTAAATGTCTTCTTTGAGAGTTGGAGACTGTAAAGCAAAGTTCCTATTTGGGGGGGTGGGGGGGTGATGTTTTGCGTTTTCTTTAGGAGACTTAATTATAAAATTTCTTGGGGCTAGAGCATATTTATTAATTACTTTGGTGGTTTTAACATATGTCCAAAATTCTTTGATATTTCTTACTTGAGTTGGAGGTTAATTCTTCCCTTGAGTGTAAACAGTAACTTTATAGGGGAGAAACCAGGCAGACCACCAAGTGATTAATGTTAACATCACCAGTAATAAGTCATATTGATATCATGGACCTGTGATGTGACGAGAAGGGCACATCTCCTCTGTGGTGTTCTTCCCAAAAGTCTATAGCCTCAGTCTCATCATCAGAAAGGAAAGACAATTCCAAACTGAGAGACATTCTATAAATTCCTGACCAACAGTCTTCAAAAGTGTTGAGTTGATGAAAGACAAGGAGAGACTGAGAAACTGTCACAGATCTGGAGAAGTCTGAGTCATGAAAACCAGATGCAGTGTGGTATGGTGGATCCTGGAATGTCAAAAGGACATTAGTGGAAAAAACTGGTGAAATTACAATATAGTCTGTAGTTTAGGTAGTAGTATTGTACGAATGTTAATTTGTTAGCTATGATAAACGTACTGGGTTATGTAAGAGGATAACATTAGGGAAGCTGGGTGAAGCTTGCTCCAAAACTCTTTGTACTACTTTGCAACGTTTGTGTAATTGTTTCAAAATATATAGTTTTTTTTAAAAAAAGGAAGAAGGGAAAAGGGACTATCAATAGGACAATTAAAGCCTTGCCCTCTGATTCTACAGTTTATTTCCCTTTGTTTTTAATTTTTTTTTATTATTTTCTGATTATAAAATACAGAAAATGTGGGAAAAAACTGACAAGCACAAAATTAAAAAAAAAAAAAAACTTTCTTGACTTACAGACAGCCACTGCTCACATTTTGTTGTATATTTATATTCTTCCAATATTTTTTCTTTCTTTCTTTCTTTTTTTTTTTAAATGACCGGTAGGGGGATCTTAATCCTTGACATGGTGTTGTCAGCACCACACTCTCCCAAGTGAGCTAACCGCCCATTCCTATATAGAAATCTGAACCTGTGGCCTTGGTATTATCAGCACCACACTCTCCCTAGTGAGCCACTGACTGGCCGTCTTTCCAATATATTTTCTATGCACATGTCTTTGATTTTTAAAATAAAAATGGAATCATGTTATTTTTTAGAAAAGAAGGATCTTTGAATCCATGAAGAACTAGGTTTCTATCTTAGCTCCACCTCTTACTAGCTCTATTATTCTGTGCTAGTAAACCTTTTTGAATTCATGGGACAATTTGTTCTTCAAATATTTGTTGAGTACTTACATACTGTTCTAGGCTCTGAGGATACAGCATTGAATAGAACAAAATCCTTCTGTCCTGCAGCTTACCTTTTGGTTGGGGGAGATACAGTAAACAAGTATGTAATATGTTGGGATAATAAAAACATCCGGAAGCTGAATCAAGTTGAGTAAAAAAGGGAATGATGGTCGGAGAAGGGGGTGTGCTGTTTTATCTGGAGTGATCAGTGAGGGCATCTTTGATAAGGTGACATTAAGACATGTGAATGAAGTGAGGGGATGATACCTGAGGGGATAGCAGTCTTGGCAGAGAAAGCAGCAAGTGCAAACACCACGGGGGAGAGCATGCCTCCTGTGGTCAGGGAAGAGCCAGGTTGGAGTGGAGTAAGCAAGCACCTGATAGGATTTAAGAGACAAGTGGAGGGCCAGATCAAGTAGGGCCTTGTAGACAAGGAAAGGTCTTGGGATTTTACTCTGAGGTTGAGCACAGAAGTGATGTGCTCTGATTTATGTGTTTATGAGAATAGACGATAGGGAGGGATAGGCAGGGTCGTATCAGGGATGTCTTTTAGGAGGCTGTTAGAATTGTCCAGGCAAGAAATGTTGCCTTGGACTAGGGCTGTGGTGGAGGTAGTGAGAAGAGGTATACAATTCTGGAAATATTCCCAAAATAGGGCTGACAGCATTTGTTGATAGATTAGATACGGCATATGAGAGAAAGAAAAGTGGGTGGTTGCTAGGTTTTTGATCTAAACTCAAGAAGAAAGTGTTGGCATTTATCCAAATGGAGAGTACTGGAAGGCATGCTCTGAGTGGAAATCAAGTGTTTGATTTTGACAGGTTTACATTTGAGATACCTGTGTGACATCTAAGTAGATGAGCAGTTAAGATTATTCTGGAGTTTAGGAGAAAATTGAAGCTGGAGGTATAAATTTGTGATTTACCAGCACATAGATAACATTTTAAGATTTTAGATAACATGAGATCATCTAGGGAAAGGGAGGCATAAAGAGAAAGGGGTCTTTCAGCCACCGCGCTCCCAAGCGGCGCACTGTAGCAGTGCGCCATTGGGCCGGCCCAAGAAGGTGTTTTTTAAAAGCAAACCATGATTACGTCAAATGCTGTCTCTAAGTTAAATATGATGAGAGCCACGAAATAACCTAAATTTGGCAACACAGAGGACACAAGTGAAGTTGTAGAAAAAGTGTCACTGTTGTGGTAGGCCTGAAAGACAGATTGGAATAGATTCTGGAGTAGGACATACAGCTTTAAGGAAATTTCAGGACAAGATGATTTCCCTGGTAAATGATATCAAGTAGCTATTTGGAGTTTTGCTACAAAAGAGAACAAGAACTGGAACTGTAGCTGGAAGAAGACATTATTAGCATTATTATTGGCCATAAAAACATTTTGATAGGAAGGCTTCATTTTAAGAGGAAGACTTTATATATCTGTAGGAGGCATTATAGCTCATTAGTTAAGAATTGGGATTTGGAGTCAGCAAGGATTTAAATTTGGCTCAACTGTATGGTTATGTTACCTGAAGGAAAAGTTACTTGTATTCTCTGAATTTTGCTTCATCTCCTGTAATTAATAATTAAAGTCATTATTCATTAAATAGTAAAAGAATTAAATTATATCATCTTTTTTTTTTTTCCTTTTTTTATCTTTTTTACTGACCGGTAACGGGATCACAACCCTCGGTGTTGCGCCCGCACCGCGCTCAGCCAGTGAGTGGGAACCGGTCTCCACATGGGATCCGAACCCTCGGCGGGAGCACTGCCATGCTCCTGAGCTCAGCCAGTGAGTGGGAACCGGTCTCCACATGGGATCTGAACCCTCGGCGGGAGTGCTGCCATGCTCCTGAGTAACCCTCGGCGGGAGCACTGCCATGCTCCTGAGCGGCGCACTCTCCAGTGCGCCACCGGGCCGGCCCTATATCATGCTTTTAAAGAGCATAATTTTAACTGTTGTTATACTTTTTGGTACCTCTCTTTGGGTCTTGGAAGGAAATGCTACAGTTTGGTCTTTGATTATTCAAACAATGAATGAACAGTCTCCATACTAACATTGTGGTAGATTTCTGCTTAATGCACTAGTAATTTAAATATGTAAACAGCGTATTTTCTTTTCTCTTTATTAAACTAGCAGAAAAGGTAATACTTTAGCTTAAAATTGACAAGGAGAAGTTTTGGGGGTCATGGTGCTGGTTAGTGGGGGTGGACTGAGGAGAGAGGATTTAACTTCATCCAGCAGAAGGTGGTAGTTCAACATTCACATATAGGATACTTCCATTTCCTATTGGCATGTTTTGGTTTCCCCTGGACTAACTTGGTGAGCATTAAATGCTTAGTCTTGAAGCATTTCATATTGTTGTGGGTTGAGTTGGTTCATTAAATAGACAAGTTACTTATTGTCTTCAGTCAGGCTTATTTTTATTGGTTCTCTAGAACAGAGTTAATACATTCTTAGAGCTGCCAAAAATAAATGTAATAGGTGGTGTCCTGTGGCTACAGCTAGACTTACTGGGCTCTGATCAAACACTTTACCTTTGGCAGGCTCTTTAGTACTTGCTGAATTCTTGCAGTTGGCTTGTTCACTTAAGTTCTTAGAAGTTTTAGATAGTGAATTAATTTCAGCATAACTCTTTGACTAAGCCTATAGCATGATTTAAATATTATTTGTGTCTGAAAACCAGTCTTAAAACCAACAAAATAGGATAGATATTTTTATATTTTATTTATTCCTAAGAATAATTTTGAGAGTCAGTGATCCTAATCTAGTGAAATTAAATGCATCTTTGGCCTTCCCTACTATCTGTAAATTAATAGCAGACTGTGTAATTAAGTTAATTTAGAGAAGACCCAAATTCCATAACCTGTGAAGCATGGTAAGTAACTGAGCTGTGTATAGTTTCCATTTGCCTCTCTGTCTCCTCTGGGGCAAATAGCCTCTCTGTCAATGAAGATTTAAACCAAGGGGAAATTTTCCAGATCTCCTGTAGTTATTTGGGGGGGGGAGATTAAAGAAATGATCAGAAATTACTTTCTTTTCACTAACAAATGAAGAAGTGGGGGTGGAGGAGGCAGTCAGCTTTCTTTGTAATGGTGAAGATATTTTGGGTATACGTTTGAATTTTAGTTCTTTCCCTTCTATTTTAGAGTCTGATAAAGAGGAGAAACCGCAACGTACTGTCATACCCAAGGAAGTGACACCAGCCCTGTGCTCACTAATGAGCAGCTATGGCAGTCTTTCAGGATCAGAAAGTGAGCCAGAAGGTAAGTCATGGCACCTTGTTACAGTGAGTTCTGTTTTGTTTTGTTGCGTTTTGCCTTTGGTACATAATAGCATTAATAGCATCCAGGATGCATATTCTTTTTTTTTTTTTTTTTTTTCCTTTTTTGTCTTTTTTACTGACTGGTAACGGGATCGCAACCCTCGGTGTCGCGCCCGTACCGGGGACCGGCAACGGGATCGCAACCCTTGGTGTTGCACCCGCACCTCACTCAGCCAGTGAGCAGGAACCGGTCTCCACATGGGATCCGAACCCTCGGTGGGAGCGCCGCCGCACTCCCAAGCGGTGCATTCTCCAGTGTGCCACCGGGCTGGCCCCAGGATGCATATTCTTTATGTGATCTTCAAATTTCTGTTTTGTTTGATTCAGAAATGAAGTTAACATGCAACAAAGGAAAGATAGAGTAATGGAGAAATGTGTTGTTACTCTGAGAGAAAAAGGCAAAGGTAATACAGTATAATGAAAGAATAGGAAGGAGAAGAGAAGTATCCTCTAAAGAAATTGAACAAAATTCTAAAAGAAAAAGCAAAAAGAAAGTGAATTCCTTCTCTGCTCTCATGAACCCTTGTCATAACATGTTTTATGCACCTTTGGTAGGTGGAGAAAGGTCCTTTATGACAAAAAGGATGATAAAATTTTAAAAATGTATATAGGGCATTGCTCTTTACAGAGCACATTTACAAAATTATCTCATTTTGAAAACACAACAGCCCTATATTGTGGTTGTATTAGCCTGTGTGTTTTAAAGGTTGGAAGAAATGAAATCTTTTCAAGAGTCTTTCTGAGAAGTCAGCCATGTTTAGGATACCTGTCTTTCCTTTAAAGATGATGTCATAGATGATAATACGTGGGGCTTTGTTTCAAAATTTATTATGATAAACCTGTGGAATCTCCTACAGCATCTCTTTTAGGGCCACCTGAAAGAGCTGTGAGTAGTCTGTTGATCTGATGCAGTGCAGTAATTCTTAATCCAAGATTTATATCAATAGTCTAGCATATGTTTAGTGAATAAGCCTAAGTCCTACTGTTGTGGAAACTTGGCTCTATATGGTAATTTTATTTAGGCTTTACCAAACATGAGAGAATTCGTATGTATGTATCTCATGACAACATGTGTAGTCAAAGTAGGAGATGTACTGAAGATAAGAATACAGGCTCTGAAAGTGTTTATATAGAAAGAAGGGAAGATTTGAATGTAATTGGGTGAAGATGGCAGCACTTTTAATGTTGACTAGGCTAGAGATCATTAATGTTTCTGTAGCTGGAGGATGTTCAATAAGGAAGAGTTGAACTTTAAAATGAAAGATGATATTTATATCTATCTGAAACATGGGAATTTTTTTCTTTCTTTTTTAATGGGCTGTGGCTTACTCTGGTAGCTTGTTAAAAGCTACTTGAATTTTGAAATATAAACTGCTTTGGCTTTATCAGAGTATTCCTTAACAGATGGTTGCCTCTTCTTATTTTTTTTTTTTTAATTTTAAGAAAAACAGTATTTATTTCTTACTCTTATTTCCAATACACTGATATGAAGATGAAGTTATTCTTTAAACACATATTACATTTCCCACTTATCAGTTGTATTTATAACAGTTGATAACAAAGAAAGCTATTAGCAGATTACGGAATCCCATAAAAAAAAAAAAAGCTGGACTAATGCTTTCTTGTCTTTCTCTTAAGATGAAACATTTAATACCTTTATAATCATATCTTCATTTTGAGATTGCCACCAGTTTTAAATTGGAAGGAAGAAAGGAAACTGTCAGGAATCTTTGAGGTCTTCACCTTAAGCTTAGAGAGGATAATTTTGCCCAAGCTAGTATGTGGCAGAACTAATATAGAAATCTAGATTTGGGGACTTAAAAGTCTAAAGAGGCCAACCCTATTGCCTTCCATTATAGTCCTTCTCTGTGTTGCATTAGCTGTCTTCCTGCACGGTAATAATGCATAGCCTTTTAAAAAAAAATCATTAACAGAAGATATCATCTATTAAAAGATTATTTGATTTTTGTATGAATTAATTTTGACTTATTGTTTAAAATGCCCTGTTTTAAGGAGACATCCCTTGCTTCACATTCCTAAGGCTTAAGAATTATTTAGTATGGTTTGAATTCAGCTTTATTAAGCCATCCAGGTCACTAGCAGATTTCTAGCTTTCACTGTTACTTCTGGGCTCTAGTTTATTGAAACATACGGAGTTTAGAATAAATAAACCAGGGACACAAAGTGGGTCCTCTCTGATTTTTTTCTATTATATGTCATTAATTTTCACTCTTTATTATTATTATTTATTACTCCTTACTCTGTACCTCGTTACAGCAGAAACTTAGATAATTGACTTAAGACTTTTCCTCATTTCTGATAGAAGCATCTAAAACTATAAATTTCCCTTCATGCACTGCTTTAGCTGCATCCCACAAATTTGACACATTGTTTTCATTTTTATTTATTTCAAAATATTTCCTAAGTTCTCTTGTGATTTGTTCTTTAACTAATGACTTACTTAGAAGTATATTGTTTAGTTTCCAAATATTTGGAGGTTTTCTAAGCTAGTTTTCTGTTAATGGTTTTAATTGAATTCTGTTATGGTCAGAGAACATACTCTGAGTGCTTTCAGTTTTTTCATTCTATTGAGACTTGTTTTGTGGCCCAACACAAGGTGAATGTTCATGGGAATTTGACAAGAGTATGTATTTGATCAAGTGTTCTTTGCCAATATGAGTTAATTATTAGTGATGTTCAGGTCTTCTGTATCCCTACTCATTTTCTGCCTAATCGTTTCTCAGTTACTGAGAATGGAGTGTTCAAATCTTCAACCATAATAATGGGTTTGTCTGTTTCTTCTCTCAGTTTTATCAGTTTTTGCTGTATATGTATTGAACATCTGTTATTAGATGTTATTATTTTGTCTTCTTGGTTAATTGACCTCTTTAGCTTTTTTTTTTTTCCTGACCAGTAAGGGGATTGCGACCCTCAGCACGGTGTTGTCTGCACCATGCTTAGCCAGTGAGCGTACTGGCCATCCCTATATAGGATCCAAACCGCGGCCTCGGCGCTACCAGTGCTGCACTCTCCTGAGTGAGCCACGGGGCCGGCCCCTCTTTAACATTGTTAACTGTCCCTTTTTATCCCTGGTGATATTCCCTTTTCTGAAGTCTTTTTTGCCTGATAGTTTTTTGCCTCATATAGCCATTTCAGCATTCCTGTGATTGGTGTGTACGTGGTATCTTCTTCCATTATCTGTGACTTAATGTAGGCAGTCCTCACTTTGCACAGTTCCTTGATAACTGAGATTTAATCTAAGTTCAAACTGTAAAGCAAGTACTGCCTGCATTTAAAGTCAGTTTCTTATAGACATCATGTAGTTGGGTCTTGTTCTTTTTTCCAATCTGATGACCTCTGCCTTTCAAGTGGGGTGTTCAGACCATTTACATATAATGGACATATTGATATGATTTGTTTCTATTCATATCATCTACTTTTTGTTCATTTTTCTTCTTTTCCTACTTTCTTTTGGATTAATCCTGTATTTTTAGGGTAGTGCAAATACTGGTTTATTAGCTGTACATCTTTGTTTTATTCTTTAGGAGTTGGTCTAGAGTATAGGGTATGTACCTTTAACATATCACAGTGTACTTTCAAATGATATTATTCACTGGTTTATTAGCTGTACATCTTTGTTTTATTCTTTAGGAGTTGGTCTAGAGTATAGGGTATGCACCTTTAACATATCACAGTGTACTTTCAAATGATATTATTCATTTTACATATATATAATATAAAAATTTAACAGCAATTTACTTTTTCCTGCTCCCTTTCTTTGTGCTATTGTTATCATAGATTTTATTTCTTTAAATATATAAATGTAGCATATGCTGTTATTACTTTTGTTTTAAATAGTCAATTATCTTTTAAAATTGTTTTCAAATGAGAAAAAAATATCTTTTGTATTTGTCCACATATTCACTGTGTCCGGTACTCGTCATTCCTTTGTGTATATCCGAGTTTCCATCTGGTATTATTTCCATCATAGAGATCACTTTCTGTAGCTCTTCATGGTAGTCTCTTCAGTTCTTGGCAGTTATAGCTCCCAACTTGAAAAATATTGTGAAACACTGTAAATGCCTTGTGAAATCTTTCATAGTTTTAAGTTATTAAGTAGCTACTATTATGGCTGGGAGGAATATTATAGCTATTCTGTTGTTACTAGTTTTGAAAGTACTACCTGTTTTTATATTTGTTTTTTAATTTCTGCGTTTGTTTTTCATGATACTTAGAAACTCCCATCAAGACTGAAGCAGACTTTCTGGCAGAAAACCAGGTTCTTTATAGCAGTACTCACAAGAGTCCAAGTCAAGATGTTAAAGCAACTGTTAGAAATTTCTCAGAAGCCAAGTATGAGAACCAAAAGAAAAGTCTTAAAAAAACAAACCCTAAGAGGAAAAACAATTGTCATAACTATCAAACATTATTTGAACCAAGAACACACCATCCAAATCTCCTGGAAATGGTACATGCTTTTTCTTTACATTCTAATCTTTTTGTGTTCTCATGTCATAAGGAACCACTGGGTTTTTTGGGTGTGTGTGTGTGTGTGTGTGTGTGTGTGTGTGTGTGTGTGTGTGTGTGTGTGTTTTAAGGTTGCCAGACACGAATGGCCCTGTTGTTCAGTAAATGTGGAATAATTAACAATTTTCAAAACTGCTTAAAGTAAAAATTTAGGTTTGACTGGTTGGTAAGGAAATGCGTATTGAGGTTTACTGACATTTTTAAAGTTTTCATTGAAAGCACAGCTAAACACAGTGGCAGGCTGAAGGAAAAAAATGTTTTTAATACAAATGCTGAAAACCACAAAGTAATGGAAAGAAAAGACCTAAGGTTTTCTGATGATTCTCATTTCTTATTTTGGGGGATTTTCATGTCTAAGAGTAGTAGAAAAATTCCACATTTTTTAGTGGAGTTGTGAAACTGTCTATTGACATTCTGTGAAAAGTCTTTATTTTTGACTTATCAGACAAGTGCATATGCGGTAGCTAACGTGTTCTGTGGTTTCACTCTATGAGGTGTTACGTGTAGACACAATTGCTCTTTATTAAAATGGATCTGAAATATGAGCTTACTTCAAAAAGTTCTTGGAAAGATTCATGTTATCTTTCAGTTCTATTTTCCACAAACTTTTTGAAGTACCCTTATAAGTGGTAAGTTAAATAACCTTTCCATTGAAAGTTCCTGTGTGATATTTCTCAACTATATTAATGATATCAGAAAATAAATTGAAAATAAAATAAATTCAATTGTGGCAAATCACATATGATTCCTTAATTATGTACTTATTCTATATACCAGGGATTTTTAACTTTCTTTCAATTATAATCACAAAAGAGGGAAAGAATGTTGGGTTTTTTTAGTGCTAATTTTATATATTTATATATTTATATATTTATTAATATATTTACTTACCTATGTCTGGACGGCTTATAGATTTGGGTTTAGAGGGATCCTCTTTGACATAAATTTTAGGTTAAAGAATTACTGCCTTTTAAGCCTATTTTTCTGTCTTTTTCTAGATACTTTTAGAGAGGGCCCCAATTGTGAATATTTGTGCTCTTTAAAAAGTTAGATAGTATTGGTGTAAGTTAAAAAGAAAGTATTTTTGCATTGTCTTTTAGCAAAATATATCTCGTACTGTTCTGTGTTCTTTATATTGGAAAGGCACATTTAATATTTTGAATTGTGTTTCCCAGACATATTTTACTAACCAGCTAATTTTTTTAAATTGTTTCTTAG